GCCCTAATACCTGTTTACACAATTACAGACCCATATCTCTCACATCCTCTGTGGGTAAATGTTTAGAACGCATTGTGGCCAATAAGATCATGCGTTTTTCCATTGATAACGGACTAATTCCCCCGTCACAACATGGATACTTACCTCAACGTTCGTGCAACACACAACTTGCCACCCTTTTCACTCTTGGAGCAATACACTTGATCCTCCGCGTGCTCATCGCATTGATGCTATTTTCCTCGATTGGTCGAAAGCTTTCGACAGACTTTCACACTCTAAACTTATTTTCAAACTTAAAAATCTTGGTTTTCGCTCCTCTTTACTTGCTTGGATACAATCCTTTCTCAGTCAGAGGTATCAGAGGGTTTCATTTTCGGGGGTTTTGTCAGATTGGGGAAACATAACATCGGGTGTTCCACAGGGGTCCGTTATCGGACCCCTGTTGTTCAACCTCTATGTGTCCGACCTGCCTTTTCTCATTGACTCTGCTCGTACCATTCACAATATTGAAGATTCTATTATTTTACAAAGAGATTTAAATACTGTGGTTGAATGGGGTTACAAAAACAATATGGTGTTGAATAGTAAAAAGTGCAAAGTTATGCACTTAACTAGTAAGAAAGTCATTGACAATGTATATAAAATCAGTGAGGAAATATTAGACTCTGTAAGTAGTTTTTTTAATACTTGGGGTTGATTATTACTTCCGAATTAAAATGGAATGAGCAAATTAAATACATTACTTCAAAATGTAAAAATATTAATGGTTTTATTAGATGCACTGTTAAGTCCCCGAATCCCTGCGTTCTCATGAAGTTGTATAAATCTTTATCAAGACCCCTGCTTGAGTATGATATTCCTGTGTGGTTACCGTTTCAACAAGGTCACATAGACAAACTCGAGTCAATCCAGAGATGCTTTATTCGAGCCTGTTTTCGTTATACCCGGCATGATGACCCAGCCCATATCTCATATTCTGATAGAATCCATAAACTTAAATTACCTTTTTTATTTAATAGATTACTCTATATATATTATGTTTGTTATGAAGTGTCTTCACATGGTGATCTATATTGAGCAATCCATTTTACCTCAGCCCCGTGTTAGGAATCTTGACCAATTGAAATTTATTCATTATCGTGCTAGAACTAATAGTTTTTTTCACTCTACTTTTATTCGTTTTCCTCGGGTGTGGGATAACTTACCTGTTGATGTTCAAAATGAGGGTGTTTTTAGTTTAAATCAATTTTCAACTAAACTTAAAAATCATCTTTACAGCCTGGACTAACTTGAATTTGATGTGCTTTCTAATGTTTTATTATTGGTATTATTATTATTATTAATACCTTTATCGTTATTTTTTTTATATTGCTATCTATTTGTTTCTGTTTTTCTTGCTGACACTTGTTCGTTAGGATTTCCCTTGAAAGTGAATTCTGTTCGCTATTGGATTCCTCCGGGCGAGCATGTGACTTTTCTCTGATTTTGTATTTTTATGTGTTTTCCGGAATAAATAAATAAATACACTCTATTGGTCCTCAGTCACCTTATTACCTTATATGGTATGACATTTATCACTGCTGGTGGTAGGACACCTGTTTACTTTACTGAGGGCATTATAGACAATAATAGACCTATTTTATGATTTAGTTTTAGCTACTGTTCGAGATCTTGTTCCAACGTATAGACCTCGTAGAAGACTACCTCCATGGTTCGATGCTGAACTTCTTGTTAGTCTTAAAATAAAAGAACAATCTTTTAAAGATAAGAAAAAGCATCCTACTGACTTCTATATTACCAACTTTAAAATAGCTCGTACCAACTTCAAAAAACTTTGTAGAAGTAAGTATTACTCCTACTTACAGTCACTTGCTAATGAAATTAAAAATAACAAAAAAAATTTAGTCTTGGATGAAGAAGTCTTATAAATCGAATGAATTTAGTAATCTTCAGCTTTGAACCATGGAGGTACATCTGTTTTTAAGCCTGAAGAAAAAGCTGATATGTTTAATAACTATTTTCACTCAATCTTCAATGCTGAAGATCTTCCCAACTATCCTCTTGGTAAACTTCGCTCTATTCCTATTGAGAGACCCCATATCGCTGATCTTCTTAAATGTATTGATACAGGTAAAGCCCCCGGTAGTGATCTTATGCTTAACAAAATTCTCAAACTTCTCAAAACGCATAATTTTTCGTCACCTTTTTAATCATGTATCCCCTGTACTTAGCCCCTATCAACATGGGTTTTACCCTAAAAGATCTTGCCGTACCAATCTTACTTCGTTATTACCCTATGCCTATTCTGCTATCGAAAGTAAAACCCAACTTGATATTATCTACACTGATTTTTCTAAAGCCTTTGACCTTGTTTCCCATCAACTTCTTATTCATAAACTTTGTAAATTTGGTATTTCTGGCTCCCTTCTTAATCTTTTTATTAGCTACCTTAATGGCAGACAACAGCGTGTTGTCTTCCAAGGTCAAACCTCTTTTTTTTGCTCACTGTACTTTCCGGAGTTCCTCAAGGCTCGATCGGGTGCCGATCCTTGGCCCCCCTCCTTTTTAATATTTTTATCAATGACCTTCCTCCTAATTTGTCCTCCTCTTGCTTACTCTTTGCTGATGATCTTAAACTTTTTAAAACTATTACTTCTCCTAATGATTCCAATTCAGTTCAGAATGATCTTGCAGTCTCTTTAGTTGGACCACGACATGGAAGCTGAGCTTAAATCTACCTAAATGTAAAGTAATGAAAATTACCAACAAAAAACGTTATATCCAATATGCATATAATATTAATAATCACATTCTTCAAAGAGTTGACCGTCATGAAGATCTTGGTATTATTATTGAAAACTGTCATTTAAACGTTATTCCTCGAGTTAATGCCGACGTAGCTAGTAAAGCTAATAGAATGCTGGGTATGATACGTCGTAACCGTCTGCTGGTGTTTTAAAAATTCTGAAAACTTGATTAAACTATACATCTCACTTGTCCGCCCTCATCTTGAGTATTGTAGTGTTGTAACTAATTCGTTTTCTTCTACTCATTGTACCCGTCTTCAAAAGGTTCAGGATCGTTTTGTTCGTTTTGTTTATTCTACTTGTCATTGTCCTGTGTTGTCCGTTTCCCCCCTTCTCTCGTTTCTCGTCGTTCTGTCTTTGATCTTCAGTTTCTGTATAAGTGTGCTGTTTGATTGTAACTTTATTTCCTTGCTCTCTCCTTTCATGTTAAAGCTATTGGATGTCATACACGTAATTCTAAATGTAATCTGCTTTATGTTCCATTTTGTCGTGTCAATGCTACCAAAAATGGTTTTATTTCACGTTGTCTTCTTTTTAATAACTATGTTGTCCAAGACAACTCTATTGACCTTTTCTTTGACAGTTATGGATGTTTTTGTAAGAAAATTTGTAAAATTGTATAAGATGAATTTTTGTTACTGTTATTATTATGTAAAGCATTTGATACTGTTGATCACGAGATATTATGTGAGAAACTTGCTCTAATGGGCGTTACCTCCTTAGACTGGTTTCGTTCATATCTGACAAATAGGACCCAGGTTGTTAAAGTTGAAGATTCATTATCTGAGCCTATGGATATCACATGCAGGGTGCCCCAAGGTAGCATTTTGGGTCCCTTGCTTTTTTTTTAATGCTTTGTAAATGATATGATAGTCAGTATTAACCCTGAATGTAAATTACTGTTATATGCTGATGATAGTGCCATTGTATTTTGGCACAAAGATCCAAATGTCGTTGCCGATAGACTTGGTAACGCTCTTAATTCATGTAGAATCTGGATTATTGACAACAAATTATCTATATTAATTAAGTCAATAATTTTTGGTAGTAAAAAAAACTTAAACGTATAAAATCATTTGAAGTCACTACTGGTGGCCTTACATTAAAAGGTTCCCAGTCTGTCAAATATCTTGGTGTTGAACTCGATAATTCAGCCTCTGGTAATAATATTGCCAAGAGTGTTATCAAGAAGGCAAATGCAAGACTATGGTTTCTTTACCGTCAAGCAAGGTGTTTTGACAAAAATACTAGAAAATTGTTATCTATGGCCCTTATTCAATGCATTTTTGATTATTGTGCTTCTTCATGGTATGAAGGTATTGATAAAGGTTTGAAACAAAAACTTCAAGTCACCCAAAATAAAATTATTCGGTTTATCCTTGATTTAGGACGACGGACACATGTAAGTCACAAAGAGCTGTCCAGCCTTGGTCTACTTAAGGTTGAAGATCGAGTTAAATTTCTAAGACTTTGTAATGTCCATAGGATTCTTAATAATAAGGCTGCTCCATATCTCTCTGAGCAATTTACGCGAGTTTCTGAAATTCATACACATAACACTCGTCAACATAAAGTCAATTTGGTTGTACCTCTGCTTAAAGGAAATAATCAGTCTCATTCAACCTTTTTAGTTTCGGCTATCAATGACTGGAATGCTCTCCCAACTAATTTAAAATTAATTACTAATATGGCTACATTTAAAATACACATCAAAAAACTGTATGAACGCAATAGTGCTCAGTTGCAATAATTACAATTGAGCACTGTTGTGTTCTATCTAAATTATTAGTTAATTGGTAGCATCTTGGTTTTTAAATGCTGCATTTTTTTTCTTTTCCTTTTTAATATGTATTAATTTTGATAACTTTTTAATTGTGCAATTTGGACCCCATTGGAAATGGGCTGGATTTCCGGCCTAATGGGTGTTCCAGATGCTCGTTGTATTTGATTATTGTAAAAAAATTCCTATATTGTATTTCTATATTTTATATTTTATATATGAGCATCGAATAAATTCAATTCAATTCAATTCAATTATTATTATTATTATTATTTTTATTATATTAATCATATTGCCATATTTTAATGTTTAATATTTTAATCCATTCTGTATGTGGCGGGTTTCCCGCTGTTGAATGTAAATAAATAAATAAATAAATAAAAAGTATACAAATACAAAGCAGATACAGTTTATTGTAGAATACTTAGGCCATACAATAGGCATACACGCAGGATGAAATGTAACGTACGTAGTGAATGTGGTAGAGGTCAAGTTTGAACGCGTTTCTGGAGACGTGAATGCGTTACAGAACCTCAATGTCAATTGCATTACCTTCCGAAGCACGGCGGAAAAGCCTGTAAAAAAAATTCATTTTTACCGTATTTTGGACAATTACCATTATAAAAGTTGGTTTTCATTGATTATATAGCAGTTTTATACTCTCGTGTGGTAACATTTTAATCACCTTTTCACCCGTGTGGTCCCGAGTGGTGTGGGCCCCGAGTGGCCTCGTGTGTTCCCTGTGGTATTTAGTAGGAGCTGTATGAAAACATCGGTAATTCTGATAATAATGGAAGCAGTATTACTCTTACTATCCCGATTTGGACTAGGCCTAATAATAATTTGTTTGCTTGTTTGCACAGTGAGATCAACAGATGCTCAGGATATTTCATTCTCCGTAGATCCTTCAAATGCTACCATTACTGAAGGAGAAATTGCATCATTCAGCTGTGTGATCAAAAGTTATGAGCCAACCGACAACATTCTCTGGATTAAACATAATTTGACCCTACGAGGCCTAGGCAGAGATGCAAATCACTCCAGATATTCGTTTGACAAAAGAATATTAAATATTAAGAATTATGAATTTATTATGAAAATAAATCCTGTAGAAAGATCGGATGAAGCGGATTATATGTGTGTCTATAGGGTTAATGACACCTACAATATATCATCAAAAAAAGCCTATCTGGATGTTCTCCAAGTACCATCGAGTCCGTATCCTCTTTGCTGTCTGTCACAGCCTTTGTATTACATTGGTGACCAGGTTGAAGTTGCTTGTGTTTCTGAAAAGACCTCACCAATACCTGTTTTAGAATTTTTGCAAGTGGTTGGTCAGACGTCACATCAGAACCGCACTCATATCTGGGAAACAATAGAGTTACCTGCAATGCCAAATATTAATAATACAATTTTTGGTTGTATAATGCAACTCACCACCCATCAAGAAATTAGAGATTGCAATACAGATAGGGTAATCGTTGAGAGAAAACTGCGTGTTGCCATACATGGACACACAATATACACTTTCAATCAAACAGCGATATTTACTTGTTTTGGAAACTACACTGATACAGCTAATTTTACATGGAAACGACAAAAAAAGAACACAAACCTACTAACCATACCATCTGTGTTGCCTGACATGCACGGTAGTTTGATCTCATGTGCTGTTGACGATGAAGGCTTCACAGGGTCCGACACCATCGTTCTTGTTGTGGAAAATCAGTTGACAACACCTGGAACAACAATGAGTCCAACGACAACCACAACTAATTCTACAACATCACATGTTGCAACAAAGTCAAATAATGATGAATTGGAAATATTGGAAGGATTTCTTGGAGTGTATTTTGTTTTAGCAATTCTAATATTCCTTTCCTTCATTGCATGTGCCCACTATACTTATAAGATTTTGAAGATAGTGGCGTATATAAAAATTTAAGATATAGCCACAGGTAGTATGCATCCCGGTACTACATGTACAGAGGGGTTCAAGGTAGGAGCGTCCTCGTCGCGGCCCTGGATAACGCTAATTCTACCACCACCACACACAAGATCAAGTTAACATCTACTTGTATCCTCATTTTCATTATGCCATCTGATGGACCTGGCATAGTGCAGTGATTTTGCTATAAACTGTCTCCAGCTCTGACTGAAACATATCTATCTAGCAAGTGTGTGGACACGATAAGAAGATGCAGAGATTCTAGGTTTCCTGGATGGAAATAGGGAGATTTTGCAACCTGTGATAACAAATACGAATATGTAACGTCATTCATGCCTGAAACATTCCGTGACAATATGCTGACGGTACGAGCTGAATGTAATCCATGACACATGCAAAAGGCATGAATCCCCTACATTGTGGCAGATATGCTACTATATGGGAAGGGTTGTTTACAAATTTGACGACGTATCCGTATTTGTTATCATTTTCCTAAGCTTGTGAAAACTTCCTAATTATCAATCCTGAATGTAAATATCAATATCTGTCCTTTTAGAATTACAGATACAAATCTTCGTTTCCCCATTTCAAATAGCTGTATCTGCTTCTGGGTTGTTACAAATTTTTAGTGTGTAATTAGTGTGAAATCATATGCTTGTTTTGTCATGACATCGTACAGTGCAACATAGGCAGGTAGCTGAGGAAGAATTTAGTGCATTAATACTTCTAATCAAGGAACATCAAAGTTAATGAGTTGTAGTATAATAAATAGGGCCACGGCTAAAACATGTAGGACATTAGATTTAATAATATTAATAATAATAATAATAATAATTGTTTTAAATGAGTGTCACTTTGCAAGTGAATAAACATGTGATCAACCTTCTTGGCAGTCTGGTAGGGTTTCATTGTATTTATTGAGTATGCTTGGTATCACAATAAAGAATCTCTTATACAAATACATAGGCCTACATATAGTTACCAGTACCGTATATTATACATAGGCCTATGCACTTACTATACCTAAACATTAACTAATCTCAAGTTACTGTACAGTACCTACACCAGGTTATGTTTCTTACTCAACAATAATGGATCACTGACTGTAATGTTTGATTCTAATAATGGTATTCTACAGTAATCTACGGTTTACCTGTTACCAAATGTTCGCTGTCTGCTCATTTTACAAAATGGCGTACAGACAATAAGGATGATGCATTATATTGTGGGTGCAGTATTGTCCATCACTTGTACCCTATTGTGTCTAGGAAATGGATCATGAAAATACAAATGAATTATTTTTATGATGGGTGTCATGTGAACAAAGCTTACATGAATACTTGCAATGGTATCATAAATAATATTGGAAAAAATGACCCTGTGATAAAAAATGGAATAGACCTTTCTAAAAATATGGCTGTCAAAAAATGATGCACCCACATTAATTTTCTCAAATGCAAGATATTTTGTAATATAATCAGTAAATATTGATTTTAGCAAATGCTTATCCTGTTCCATTTAGTTTCGTTAGCTCTCAAACATGGCCAAAGTTTGACAGATGCCACATAAGTACAGTAGCCATCTCAACATGGATAAGCCTACTTCAATTACCTGTAAATTTGCTATTTGCATTTCATTGCTTTTTGAGTTTTTAGCTGAGTTAAAAGTTAAAATTTGTTTCTAATGCTATAGATTGTGTGTTGGTTCAGTGTGGTGCTATAGACATGTATGAAGAGGAAAAAACTTGATTACATGTAGATAACATTCAGGTAATGGAGTCAACTGAGCATGCATAGGTCACATACACAAGAGTTTAATAAACCCATGGAGGTCCTATTATTGACCTATTCATTTATAAATAACATAAGCTCTGTCTACACTATCAAATTTCATTAAAAAAAGAAAGCGTCACATAAAATGTGATGGAAGAATATCATCAAAATACATCAAACTTCCTTAAAAAATGTGATGTATTTTGATGAAACTGAATTATGAAATCCGATTGGTTGGTGTGATTTGTAGTGTTTGCATATTGGTCAAAAGGTGTTTTCTAAAAAATTTGACAACTTTTTGAAAGATAACATAAAAAAAAGTTGAACACGTCATATGTCATCATGCCTATCACATCACATTTTTTGTCACATAAAATTTGATAGTGTAGACAAAGCTTTAAACAAGCATTTTCTTTAGAGTAACCCGGTACAGTAATGTCGGAACTCATTTTCCCCACATGATCAGAATAATGAAAAATTGAATAGCCTAATATAAATGCATATAATTTTTTTTATCTCTGAGTGGATTGTGAAAATAACTTTCATTTACTGGTTTTGTTCAGTATTTGAACCAGTTCACAGATTATATTGACTAATAGGCATATACTCACTTTGCACATTATTCTTATCCACATGTTGAAGTTACCATTCAGTGTGTTCAATCATACCTACAATATAATAATACGAATGTCAAGACAATTATTATTAAGGACTATGTAACCAGTACTGTATATTATGGGTAGAAAATACAAGTGTGCCCTGTGTCACTTCAGGTTTTTTACCACTTATATTTATAGCGCATAATGCTGCAGCTTTTATGCACTTACTGTTGATCATTATTTTTGATAAATAAAATATTTTTGATTGGCATGTAAGTCGGAATGGTGCAAGGATTTGTCCGACGGTGGTGTGGGTGGAAAGGGGGAGGACTTTCCCCGACAAGAGAATAGTGGGTGTGGTCGGGCGTCAGTCAAAATCTTTCATGGCATATTTAATTGATTTTTTTTCTCCCTGAAATGGTTACTGAAGAAATGCAATTTACTAACTTGAGAAGTTTGAATATGTTTAATCAGTTTTGTAATTGAGCACATAAATTCATTTGTAAAATTGTTTGTCAAAGTATTTAGGTCAAATGGTTCAAGCTGCCCCAGACCTAGAGAAAGTTAAATTCAGGCTCCGGAGGAAAAACAAATTTTGATAGGTTGTAGAATTGATTTTTCTAAGACAGTGGCGTAACCACCCTTTTTTCCCAGTTTTTAAATATTCAAACATCTCTATCTCATTAACCACTCCTCGATTTTTCGTTAAACAACTTTTTTGTGTCCCAGAAAATCAGTTCTACGACAAATAAACAATTTTTTCCCTCCAGAATCTGACTTTAATATACTTACCAGGGTGGGGAAACCAGAGTACTGTCACTTGTTGAAATTGTTTTACCACCAGGAGAAAACATTGAAAGTAAACAAATAATTTGTTATTGGTATAACAGTTAAACTTATTACTATATAGTATGTACGCTAGGTAATGATTAGGATTTCAAATATGTCAAATCTGTTAAAAAAAATAATGGGTCAAGCTACCTTAGCCTGGGGTAGTCTGAACCACCTATTGATTTTATTTAGGGTGGCTCATTGTGAATGGGTGTTCACAGTGCCCTGGCCTCCCTAACATTTAACCACAAGTTAAAGCCAACAAGGCATTAAGTTATTTTTTAATTTTTGTAAATTTAGTAGTATATTATTTTACATTAACATTTACTCTTGAAACTATTATATATGACTGACACTTTCTAGGAGTAATGTTTTTCACTATCTGACATGTTATCATACTGAATACTCAGTACATTCACAAATACTTGCGAAAAAAAATTTGGAAGCAAATTTTTCGAACCCATGACCTCCAGATAACTAGCCTAGCCTGGTGTCATAACCACTAGACCACCGAACTTGAGCTTAGTGACTGGTGTTGAATTTGATCCCCGACTAATGTAGCAGCGAGTACTGCAATTATTCAGTAAGATAAAACGTCAGGTAGGGCAAAACATAATATTTTGCTGCCGCAAACACACATTTAAACGCTTTCTAGCTATTCATTGTGAAGTGCCTCATTGAGGTAACATGAATTTTAAACCAGTTTATTATAGGTTGTGAAGGAAACCTTGGTTATTCACACCAATAAAAAATCATGAATTGTTGCCTTAAATATATATTTATTTTATTTTTATATAATTATTTATGTATGTTCAGTATGTGTATTTAAGTTTGTGTTTATATGTATATATA